TGCCTGTAGGTAGTCCCCAATTTTGCCAAGGACCGGTCCCCCCCAAACATTTGCCCCCTAGAAACCCACTGTGCGTCCTGGTCGCCCGCCGCCGAAAATGCGACACCTTGACGCAGACGCCGAAGTCCATTGTCTACCGCGTGGGCGCGGGGAACACAGCCCTAAGGTAGCCAAATCAATGAGACTAAGAGCTAACACAAGATAAATAGGTAGATAGATAGATAGATAGAGAGAGAGAGAGAGAGAAAGAGAGAGAGAAAAATAATTTTGTTCGATTTATTGTTATGAGTGTGAGAGAGAGAAAGAAATAGAGAGAGAGGGAAGGGGGGGGGCCTACCAGAGAGAGAGAGAGAGAGAGAGAGAGAGAGAGAGAGAGAGAGAGAGAGAGAGAGAGGGAGAGAGGCTGAATGGAAAAATTGAAATATGGGTCAAATTGCGGCCGCAATCTATTTCGCAGTTGGAATTATTTTTTAAATTTATGTAGCGTTTTTTCGAAAAGATTACAACAAAATGTACGAGTACTCCAATTTTCATGTTTTTTTACGCATTCTTCTGAGCGCGAAAACTCACTGAATTTGGAGTACTTTTTAAGTTGGCCTACACATGGCTGAGTGGCAAAAATGGAAAATGTGTTGAATCGGCACGACAATTATTTCGCAGTCTAAATGATTTTTTGTAAATATTTTATAATTATTTATGGAAAGAACACGACCTCATCTTTGGATTCTCAAAATTTCAGATTTTTGTGCATGTTCGTCTAAGCACAGAAAATCGTCAAAGTTGCCTCTTGCAAAACGTTTGTTTCGTTGTGCCCGACCTCCCTGTTTTGAGAAGACGGGGCTCAGCGCCTAGGCCTGAGGGCCCTTTTGCAGTTCACATGCCCTCACTTTTTTTTGGGGTCCGCAATTTTGGCAAGGACCGGTCCCCCAAATTTTTTTGCCCCCTAAGAATCCACTTTGCGTCCCGGTCGCCCGCCTCCAAAAATACGACACCTTGATACAGACGCGGAAGCCCACTATACCGCAGCCTAAGGGATGCGAACTTTCACCCTATTCTAACCATAGATTTAGGTTCACCCGTCGTTAAAACTCCAACTTTAGTTCTCCCCCTGACTGATTCCGCCGAGAATCGAGTAATATCTTGACTCTCCACCCCCTTTGCCTTTACTCCCGCCATAGCTTCACGCATCGGCTTTCTCTTCCACCTCCTAACCTGCTAACTTATCTTCGAAACTAACACTACCAATCGATTCAGATTTCCAAGAAACCCCCATTTCGCATCTCTCCGTGCCTGATTCTGTTAAGAATCCAGTGCGCTATCGATTTTTTTCTTTACCATACCCGTTTTCTTTCTTCCTCCATATCCACCTGTACTACCTTTGATTTCACCCGTATGCATCCGGCGCCACTTCGCGCCTAGGTTCACCCCGCCTTAATTGCCTCTGCTTGGTTGCGCTAAATTGTGTTCCAACGTAGTCACCTCGTGCCTGATTCTGTTAAGAATCCAGTGCGCTATCGATTTTTTTCTTTACCATACCCGTTTTCTTTCTTCCTCCATATCCACCTGTACTACCTTTGATTTCACCCGTATGCATCCGGCGCCACTTCGCGCCTAGGTTCACCCCGCCTTAATTGCCTCTGCTTGGTCTGTCTCTTATACACATCTAGATGTGTATAAGAGACATTTACCATACCCGTTTTCTTTCTTCCTCCATATCCACCTGTACTACCTTTGATTTCACCCGTATGCATCCGGCGCCACTTCGCGCCTAGGTTCACCCCGCCTTAATTGCCTCTGCTTGGTTGCGCTAAATTGTGTTCCAACGTAGTCACCTCGTGCCTGATTCTGTTAAGAATCCAGTGCGCTATCGATTTTTTTCTTTACCATACCCGTTTTCTTTCTTCCTCCATATCCACCTGTACTACCTTTGATTTCACCTGTATGCATCCGGCGCCACTTCGCGCCTAGGTTCACCCCGCCTTAATTGCCTCTGCTTGGTTGCGCTAAATTGTGTTCCAACGTAGTCACCTCAATGACTGCAGCTCGATACAGCCAATGGGAGCAATCACGAGCCCCACTAAGGAGTGTAAAACAACTCCCCCTCTACCGAATCTCATTACCCCGAAGGCAGGTTGCGCTAGCGACCTATGCACTGACACTGCAATGGGGAAGGAGGGTGTGGGTCTGTTGCCCAGCCTGAAACGTGGGCCTAGGCAAGGTGGGCCGCAACGCAGATCTTGGTGGTAGTAGCAAATATTCAAATGAGAACTTTAAAGACCAAAGGTAGAGGGGGTTCCAAGTGAACTGTCCGCACGGTCTGTACCATTGTAGGCCTCCGTCTGGTGCCCGCCTATACCTCGACACAGTCCCCATTTGTTGGCCCCAACGGACATGCTTACGCTCAAACCTCTCACGGCAAGCGGCGGTTGGCAGACCGTGCACATGCAGCGATCCTTGCCACCCTCAGAATGCAACCCCACAGGCCACTCGGAACACTCTCAAAATTCCCTTTCACTTCAGGCTATCAACGCTCTTCAAATAGGAAGCGAGGGAAGCCACGACCACGGACCTCATCACTCTCGCCCGTTGACCTCACCGGTCCATGTTTTCAGCGAGGGTAAAGCAGGGGAATTTTGCCAGCATCCCGGACACACAAGAGTCCGTAGGTCAACAAAAGGAGGCGCGCCCTCAAGGTCTTTGACTGTCGTGACAGCCTCTAAATCCAGCATCGCGTTGTCGGCGCGAACACCCTGATAAGGGTATCCGCCCTTGTTTTTGCAAGTGTCCGGAAGTACGAATAGAGGTCTAAAGTGTATTGCGCGAGTCGCGACTAAGTCTGCTTGATTACCTAGGTAAGATGGTTGATCACGATAGAGCGGGTGAGGGCGCGCGAGATTAAGGCGTGCGGGTGATCTCTTTAAATTTGGTTAAATGGCCGGCCTGAACCTTGTTTCTTTTCTATTAAGAGTAT